GCACTATTTCTGGCAGTCTGTAAAGGCCCTGACTGCCTTTGAGGGTCATGGATTCCCCTTCTTTGGAGGTCTTTAAGAAGAGGTTGCATGGCCATCTTTCAGGTGTGCTTCAGTAGGGTATTCCTGCACGGCAGAAGGGGTTGGACTGGATGGCCCTTGGGTTCCCTTCCAATGCTAAGAATCAAATACAGTTGTCCCTCTCCGTTCGCGGGCTTCAGGTCCGCGGTCTCGCTCTTCACAGGGAGGGACAACAGCTACAGCCACAGGCGTGCATGCCATTGGTTTCAATGGGCCTCGAATATTAGCAAGCCACCATTTTTTAGGGGGGGGGGGTCCCAGGAACTGTTTATTCTTCCCTCAACATTTGTGGCTTTGACTTTTTGCGGTTTCGATTATTCACGGATTTTATTAATACGTTCTCTCTAAGAATCTCTAGGTCCTTCTGTATTATATATTTTTTTGTGATGAAGGCAATTTTTTTTAAAAAAAAAATAAAATAAAAAAAATCCCTTGTTTTGTTTGCCCAAGGCTTAAGTAGCAGATATGGAGAGACTGCAACTCACATCATCCCCAGCCAGGTGAGGGATAATGGGAGTTATCATCCAACAATTTATTTATTTATTTATTTATTTTTCTGATTACAGCAATTTAAAAAAAAACAACTCAGAATTGTTTGCCCAAGGCTTAAGTAATAGATGCTGAGAGACTGCAACTCCCATCATCCCCAGCCAGGTGAGGAATGATGGGAGTTACAGTCCCCACAGTATTATTTATATTTGTGATAGAAAAACTCCTTCAGAATTATTTGCCCAAGGCTTAAGTAGCAGATACAGACTGCAATTCCCATCATCCATAGCCAGGTGAGAGATGATGGGAGTTACAGTTCCCACAGTATTGTATATGTTTGTGATGAAGGCAAATTAAAAGGTGGGAAAAATCACTCAGGATTATTTTCCTAAGGCGTAAGTAAGAGATGCACAGAGACTGCAACTCCCATCATCCCCAGACAGGTGAGGGATGATGGGAATTACAGTCCCCACAGTATTATTTATATTTGTGATGGAGGCAAATTTTAGAAAAATTCCCTCAGAATTGTTTGCCCAAGACTTAAGTAGCAGATGCCGAGACTGCAACTCCCTTCATCCCCAGACAGGTGAGGGATGATGGGAGTTAGAGTCCCCACTCATGTACACATGCATCCCTCCCACTCAGCGAGGCCCTTCAGACCCCCCCCCCCCGCAAAGGCTCCGCACACCCAGCCTCCCCTCCCTGTGGACGCGCAGGCGCAGTGGAGCCCCTTTCCCAGTCCTTACTGACCCATCCAGGCCCGGCTCGGCGGCGGCGGCGGCGCGACTTCTCCCTCAGAGGGCGCGCCCAAACGCCCGCGCATGCGCCAACCTCACAACACTTCTCTGACGCGCATGCGCCAAACTGCGAGACGGGAGAGAAAAGAGAACAGGAGGTGGGGCTTAGCAGCACGTCGAGGCGCAGAGCCAATGAAAAGGCGCGCCGGCACTGCGCAGGCGCGTTCCGGCCAAAGCGGCGCGAGGAAGCCCAGTCCAGTCCAGAGGGAACGGTTTGACTGAGAGGTGGAGGGTTTCAGGCCCCAAGTTCCCCTTCTCCCGCCTCGCCCAACGCCTCCTCTAGCAGCCGGTGAGGGAGGGACGATCGCACCTTGTGCCGGGAGGGTGGCGGCAGCGGAAATGGAGGCCCCTTGACGCCTCATCCGGGGTCAGGAGTGGTCCCTCCTCTTTTAGGGCTTTGAGGGGGCTGGCCTTGGCTGGCTCCTCCTTCCCCAGGACCCTTGTGGGGGCGGGGTCAGGGCTGGCTCCTCCCACCCTTGTGGGCGGAGTCAGGACTGGAGCCTCCCTGACAGCATTGAAGGACGGGGTCAGGACTGGCTCTTGAGGGGCGTGGCCTGGACTGGCTCCTCCTCCAGGGCGCTCCAAGAGCGGGTCT